AACGAGCGGCAGGCAGGGGGTGGAAATGCCAACGCTGCAGGACGGGGCCGGGCAGGAGGTGAGGAGCGGCTCAGTGACCTGGGAAGGGCGGGGGCCGCAGGGGCACGGCGCTGGGGGCATCGCACGGAGCCCGTGCGCGGCTGGCGGGGGGGCAACGGAGCGCCGCGGGCACAGCAGCCCCCGGGCAGAGCCGCCCTTTGCCGCTCCGCTGCGGTCGTGGGGCCCCGCGACGGGGCGGCCCCTCCGTGCCGTGGGGCCACGCGTGGGTGGGAGCGGGAGCACCCCGGGGAGGAATGTGGGTTGGGAGGGGCCGCAGCTCCGGCACGGGCTTGCGGCACAGTCAGCGCTCAGCCGCCGCCCAGCATGGACGAGAAGCCCGAGATCCAGCTCTTCGTCAAGGTGAGGACCCGCACGGGGCCGCGGGTCGCGGCTGCCGCTGCCTGCGAGTGAGGTCGCCAACGTTGCCGTCAGCGTCCGACCGCTGCCACGGCCGCCCCGGGGGCTGCATCGGAGCGCGGCGGCTGAGCTCTGCCTTTGCCCGCAGGCGAGCGAGGACGGGGAGAGCGTGGGGCACTGCCCCTTCTGCCAGCGGCTCTTCATGGTGCTGCTGCTCAAAGGAGCGCCCTTCACGCTCACCACCGTGGACACGAAGAGGTGAGCGGTGCTCCGCGACGCTCTGCCGGCCTGGGGGCGTGGGGTGGGACAGCCCTGCTCCGCGCACCGGCCCGGGGGGTGCGGGGAGGTCTCACTACGTGGGGAAGGGGCTGAGGACGCTTGTTGTACCCCCTGGCTGTCCACCGTTCCTTAAGGGAGGGCGGCGGACGCTTCTCGGGTGGAGCTGCCACGGCACACACGGGGCAGGAGCAGCCGCCGTGGAACGCCTCATCCTTTTGCCCGGAACAGGTCGCGGTGCGCTGCAGCGGGCGTCAGCAGCTTCCTCTCTCCTGCAGGGCACTGGATGTGCTGAAGGATTTCGCCCCCGGCGCTCAGCTGCCCGTTCTGCTCTACAACGGAGACTCCAAGACCGATACAGTCACCATCGAGGACTTCCTGGAGGCCAGGCTGGCCCCCCCCGCGTCAGTGGCTGGCACTGCCCTGAGAAGGGCTAAAGAGGGGTGGAGACGCTGAGGAAGGGGCGGGGGTGGCTGCTTCCAGCCGTGCTGCCTCCTTCCCCAGCTATGCCCATGTCCCCGCAGGTTCCCCAGCCTGGTCCCGCGGTACAAGGAGTCAAGGCTGGCTGGAAACGACATCTTCCACAAGTTCTCCACCTTCATCAAGAACCCAGTGCCTGCTCAGGATGAGGGTGAGGAGCTGGGCGGCAGGTCGTGCCCTTCCGTGCCGTGTGGGGCATCGGCAGCCAGGGCCAGGCGAGAACGGTGCAGGCGCAGTGCCGGCAGAGCAGGGGCTGGAGGCTGCCTGCTGCTCTGACTGCACACTGCTGCCGCCCCACAGCGCTGCAGCGGAACCTGCTGAAGGCTCTGCTGAAGCTGGATGAGTACCTGAGCACACCCCTGGAGCATGAGCTGGCCCGAGAGCCCCACCTCCGCACCTCCCAGCGCCGCTTCCTCGACGGCGACCAGCTCACGTTGGCTGACTGCAACCTGCTGCCCAAGCTCAACATCGTGCAGGTGCGTGGCTGTCCCCACTGCACACCTTCTTTCCTTGCCTTGTCTCCCTGGTGCTGCCTGCCCCATGCTCTCACCCTCTCTTGGGTATTCACCTGCCACCTGCCTGCAGCAACTTCCCTTTCCCACGTGCCATCCCCTGGCTCGCTGTGCCCCCCAGATGCCTGGCACCCCACAGCTCCTGCCCAGCACAGCGCTTTCCCAGACCCCACTCCCTCTGCATCCTGCCCCTCCTCCATCCTGCGCTATGCCAGCGATGTCCTGTTGCCCCTGGCTCCCACCAGTGAGCATCACCAGCTCCCGGCTGCAGCCCCCCGGCTCACGGCAGGCACACAGCAATGGGCTGTTTCTGCCCGCAGATCGTCTGCCAGCATTACCGCCGCTTCGGCATCCCCAAGGACCTGCAGGCTGTGTGGCGCTACCTTAACAACGCTGCTGAAACCAAGGAGTTCAAGTACACCTGTCCCAGCAGCGAGGAGATCGTGCAGGCCTACCGCTCCGTCGTCCGGTCCCCGCAGTGAGCCGGGCAGACGCCCAGGCGGGCACAGGGCCGGGCACCAGCTCAGCACCTGCCTGGTCCTGCTGCTCCCACCGCCATCCTGCCCGCACGCGCTTGGGAGGGCAGAGCATCGGCACCCAAATTTCCCCAGCTGGCACCCAAGGTGCCTCACACTGAGCCTGCCAATGCTTTCTTGCTTCTCGTGTCACCCTCTCTGCTTGGCCGGGACACCCTCGACCCACCCTGTGGTCCCTCAAGCTTTAAGGATGGGTACAGCCATGGGCACCGCTTGAAACAGAACTGGGTGATGCAGAGGGAACACTGGGGGCTGGGGAAGAAAACCTGCCTAGAGGGCAGCGCACTGCAGTGGGAATCCCTGCAGCTGCCCACCACACGAGCTGCCCTAAGCAGGGCTGTGGCCAGGACAGCTGGCACTGCAGTGTCTGTGAGCAGCAGCACAGGGTGAGGGGAACAGGCACAGGTGTGGCAAAGCCCTGGGAATGGAGCTGGAGGGGACACTGCAGCACCCAGCCCTGTCACCACTGCCCTGGCAAGGGGAGCAGAGGGCAATGTCCCACCAGGACTTGCTGCTAGGAAGCTCTCTGGAGCAGATTTGGGACAGGGATGGGGGTGAAATGGGGAAAGTCCAAGCCATGCATCAGAGCACTTGGAAATCAATAAAGGCTTTGCAAGTGAGACAGGAGTGTGTCTGCAGTGACCTGCTGCTGTAGCTTGGCTCTTTGGGAGGGTGGAGAGGCTCTCACCAGTCACCCACCCGTCACTGGCACAAAACTGGCGAGAAAGTACACTCTTTGGAGCCTTTGAGCTTCCAGATTGAGCTGAAATTGGCTGCTGAGCAATAGAAGTGTAGAACGAAATGACACACACTGTCACGCTGGCTGGGTACCCAGACCTGCTGGCCAAAACCAGAAATGAGCTTTATTGGCAATAAGTTAAGCACAGACAACCTTTAAAAAATATCTTTTGATGCTCTTTTAAAAACCCCAGCAACTCATAGCAAGTGGGGCAGAGGGGTGGCACCTGTCAGCAGGGAAAAGCTGCAGGGCAAAAAGCCACCACTTTGTCACCGCTGCCTCGCCTGCCCCCAGAGTGTGCCCCAGCACAGCCCAGGAGCCGCTGCCCACCGGGACCAGCCGGTGCCGCCTGCCCCAGGCAACCCAGCCCTGCATGCATCGCACCTGCAGAGCAGCATGGTGCAGGCAGACCTCAGTGGATGACAAGGCTGCTGTTGGGAGGATGGAACAGCGCAGGTCATGAGTCTTCAAAGTCCACTCCAGATGGAACAGACTTGCTAGAAAAGGATTCAGGGAGTCACACCAAGGTGTGCACCCTGCAGAGCACAGCCCAGCAGATCTCAGGCCCAGCACCGGGCTGTGGAGCAGCACATACCTTTTGAAGCCAGGATTAATGAGGGACTCTCCCGGGATCTTTCTCTTTGCTGGCAAAGCAGAGCCAGCAGCCCTGTTTTTTCTGGGGCTCGGGTCTGCCTCAGACGGGAGGAGGGACAGGGAAAGCAAGAGGTCAGCGGGGGGCTCTGGCAGCCCTGCAGGCCCTTCTGAGCCCGGAGAGCACCTATGGCAGCCACAGTGGGTGAGGAAGGCCTGGGGGAGCTGCCGGGGCCTTCAGCCTGGGAGAGCATCAGTGCCGGCCCTCCCCTGCAGCTGGGCACACTGCCTGCGGCTGATGCACCGCACACCTCGGGAGCTGCCGCGCTGAGCCGGGCCCCTCCTGGGCCGGGGAGGGCACTGACAGCAGTGCGGGCAGCAGCCACGGCAGAGGAGGCTCAGGACCCTGGGGGGCTCCCAGTCCCCGCAGCCTCCTAGAGGATGAGAAAGAGAACAAATGTGCAGCACAGCCCCCAGAACCGCTCACCTGGCAGGATGGGCTGCTGGCTCTGCAGGGCGTTCTTCTCGGGGCTGTAGCTCAGCGTGCCCAGCACTGTGTGACAGGAGCAGGGGTCACAGCTCACGCCTGCGTCTTCCTAGCACTTCCCTGCCCGGCTATTCCCTGCCCTGCACGGCCATACGGCTCCTTCCTCCCGCACACCTCCACGCGGGGACCTCCCCACCAGGAAGGCACTTCTGCGCACGGAGGTGTCCCGAGAACAAGGCTGTGCTGCTGCACGCAGAGCGCGGCTTCGCGCGAGGGATCTCCTGCCCGAGGTTCTCCGCACAGCGCCGCCCGTGGGCACACGGCATCCGCAGCAGGAGAGACGGATGCTGTAAAGACCCCCATCCCCTCTCGCGGTGCCCTTCCGACGGCCGCGAGCCGCCCGCCCCTCTCCCCCCGCCCCGTCCCGCGGCCGCACCTTCCAAGCGTTCCTCCAGGTCCCGGACGCGGGCGGCCATGGCGAACAGCAGCGCCTGGAGCTGCGGCCGCGCCTCGGCAGCGGGCAGCCGGGGAAGCAGCAGCGCTTCCTGCCCCTCCCGCAGCCGCAGCGTGGCCGCCCCGTCCCGCAGCCCCAGAGATACGGCCCCGCGGCCCAGCGCTGCCCTGCTGGGATGGAGCGCAGTGAGCCGGGTCCCCAGCCCGGAGGGGGATGGACGGACGGACGGAAGTCCCTGGTCCCCCTCACCCGCCGGGCGCCCACCTGAGCTCCGCGAAGCCGTCCTCCGGCGAATCCCCGCCGAGCCGCGCGGCCCACATCTCCAGCGCGTCGGTCACACTGCGGGGCAGAGGTTCAGGCCGGGGCTCATCGCCCCCCACCCCGCTCCGCCCCACTCGGCACTCACTAGACGGTGGCCGCCGAGCCGGGGCCGGACGCGGGGCGGCAGTAGCAGAGGTAGCGGTCCGCACCGTCCCGCAGAACTCCGAACGGCCCCGACGGCTCCGCCATGGCAGTGCCGGAAGGGGCGGTGCGGGCGGCGCGGGCGGTGCTGCGGGAACTGCCGGCCCCGTGATGGTGCACCTCGGGCTGCGGCGGGTGGAGGACAGCGTGGCTGCCAAACACCCGGTGCGTGCGGGGCGGCGAGGCCGGGGGGAGCGGGGCGGATGGGGCCGGTGTCCCCGCGCTGACGCTGTCCCCGCAGGCGCTGCAGCAGTACGCGGCGTGCCAGGCCCACGCCTTCATGAAGGGCATCGGCACCTTCCTGGCAGGTACGGCCGCGGAGAGACGCGGCGGGCGCGGCTGCCCGGTGCTAATTGCTCCCCGGCCCTGACGGCGCCGTGGCCGGGACCGCCCGGCTCGCTGTTTGGGCAGGCGGCGGCGCTGCTTTTGCCGTGCAGAAGCTGGTGAACAAGAGGCTGCCGTACGCGCTGCAGTGGAACCTGCTGCTGTCTGTGGGTGAGTGCCCCGCGCCGACCCCCCGGCCCCGCTCCCTGCCCGGTGACGGCGCGGGGCCCTGCGGGGAGCGCAGCCCGAGCTGCGGGAGCGGAGCGGCGTTTGCGGTTGTCGGCCGATCGTCCTCCTGCTCCCCAGTGCCCGGGGGGATCGGGCGCTGCTCACGGGCAGTTGCACAGCCCGCGTTAGAGGGAGGACACCCGCGTGCCGGTCTGTCCAGCGGCAGGGTCCTTGGCCAGCTATATGGTGACCAGAGTGGAGACGCAGAAATGCTCGGACTTCTGGATTTACTTGGAGACGGGCACATCCCCGCAGGAGCACCGCACGGCTGACGGAGCGCCTCAGCCTGCAGGTGGATTCTGTGTCTCTCCCACGGCTCTCCCTGGGCTTGGCTTGGTTCTTCCCTGCTGCAGCTCTTTGCCGTTCCTGCCTCATAACTAAGCTGGCTGCTGGCTGCGTCCTTGTCACAATCCTACATGTCCCGCAGTGACACCCCTCCAGTTGAGGAGCCCCCTTCTGCGGAGCAGCAGTAGCAGCTCCCCGGGGTTGCAGCAGTTCAGGGCTGTCAGTGCTCCCTTCCTGCCCTGGCCCAGTGCCCTGCAGTGCTCTGTGCCCATTGCCTTCCCAGCAGCAATCTGGTACAGCCGCTGCCCGCTGGCCTGCCTGTTTTCTGCATTCACAAGAGCTGGGGCTTTTTGTTTGCTGGAGTAGGAATAGGGCTGGGGATGAGCTAGCAAACCGTGCTTGTGCTTGAGCCACTGCTCAATGGAAAACACCGGGCTGGAGCTGGGGGTTCCTGTGGCTGCATCTTGCTGTCCCTGTTGGCAGCGTGCTGCTGAAGCTCAGTGAAGCTGAAGAGGTATTAAACACTTCCCTGGGGCTCTGTGCTTCTCTGCTTGCCCCTGCCAAACATGCTGGGATCATCTGGGGTCCAAGGAGCTTGCTCTTATCTGTTGCAGACCATCTGTTTGGCCTGGAGGATGCAGAGAGAGTGCCACCACCCGTGAGGAGGAACAAATATGGGGACATCGTGGAGTAGCCAGGAGCACAGTGTGCTGTGCCCACATCCTACTGCTGCCCTCAGCCCTTCTGTCTGCTTGGTGTGCCCCTGCAGTGTGGGAGACATCTGCAGTGCTGCTGGGGAGCTCAGGGGAGTCCCCAGCAGTTGTGTGTGAGCACCCAATAAAAGTCCTGAGCTGAATGCACACGCTGTGAAGGAAGTCATGTCTGGCAGTGGGGTGGAAGGAGCTGGTGGCAAACGTCACCTGGACACATCCCCTCTGCTGTATGTTGAAGCAGAAAAATCTGGTCTCTCTGAGACCACAGGAGTCACAATTCAAGTGTGCTGGGCTGCGAAACATCTCTAGACGTGGACGTGAGGAGGCAGAGCTGCTGCCACACTCTCTGATCACTGAGCATTGCTGATCACAGTCTCCCTGTGCTCATAACAGCACGATTTGTTTGCTCGCCCAAACGCTGCTGTCCTGAATCTTCTGCAATGCTGTCTGTCCCAAAGGGGGGGGAGCAAGGTGTGAGTGCCCAGAGCCGGGCTGAGACACCCTGCTGGCCTTGGGCTCTGCCTCTGGATGCTGTACCCACGGAGAAGGGAATGTTCGAATGCCCAGAGAGGCACCCAAGAAGATCTGGAACTTTATGTCTTTTTTTTCTCCCCTAATTGCAACCCTTGAACGAAGCCCGTAGGTTAAGCCGGCAGCTCTGTGTGGATCTGAATCGGTTGCAGGTGAATTTCTCAAATGGGAAAACTGATGGGAAACCCGGGTGCTGCAGCAAGCCGCTTTCTTCCAGCGGGGCGGCAATTCTTCGTCTTCAGAGGGGGAACAGAAACGCTTCCTTCCGCCTGAGATCCGGGCGCAGTCACTGAGCAGAGCCGCGGGAGGGAGCTGTGTGCTGGGAAAGGGGGAGGCGGGAGGAAACGTCGGAGCATCGTGAGTCGGAATCCTGTTTGCTCCTCCGGGGAGATGGGAAGCAGCTGTCAGAACAGCTGAAGTGAGAAAAGGGCTCATTCAGCAGAGCACGGCGCTACAGCAACGCAATGAGAGCAGGGCAGGATGTCAGTCGGTGAGGAAACCGGCGGAGCAGAAATGGTGCTGTAAAAATAGGGAGGGCAGCCAGAAGCTGCTTCTCTCCTGAGGAACGTGGCCGGGCAGCGGGCTGTGAGCAGGTGGGATTGAGGAGCTGGGATGGCCTCTGTGCGGTTGTAAAGGTGGTTCTGTGGGCCTGGCAGCTCAGAGCTGCCTGCCCTGACAAACTGCATTTCTGCAGGCTGCTGTTCTGCCCTGCGTGGCCATCAGAGCCTTTCCTGTGTGCCTCGGGGCGCAGGGACTGCACAGAGCGGAGCTGCCTGCATGCACCTTTGGGTGGCCGTGTTTGGGAAGCCTGAACTTCTCAGCTAGGCTGCCTGAAACTTCCATTTCCAGGTGGGCTTGATACCAGGCTTTAAGCCCAGCCTGGACTCTCTTTGACGATTCTGCAGGCTACAAAGCCATGGCTGTGTCTGAGCACTGGGCAGGCTTGAAGGGAGCGAGCCCTTTGGGTAAAGCTGAGTGTGCAGCTGTGTCCAGGGGAGCCCAACTGTGCCCTTGCACCTGCAGCACAGGCAGCCCTGTACCAACAAAGCCACAGGAGTGGTTACAAAGGTTTATTTCTGATTATAAAAAAGAACCAACAAAACAAAAGAAAACAAAGCCCACAGGCCTTCCTGCACATTCCCATGTCCCTGTTGTTTGTTTGTTTGTTTGTTTTTTCCCACTCATTCAGAAATAAAGGCACATCCTCCCAGATGTCTGCCTTGGGGTGATGCAGGACTCAAACCCTCAAGCTGCACAAAGCCTTGCTCCTGCAGCAAGTTTGTACCCCTGTGGCAGCAGCTGGGAGCCCAAGGCAGCACTTGTGGCAGAGCTGACAGTGGCACAGGGACCGCAGGAATGAGGAAGGCATTACATCTGATTGCTGGGGGGCACAAGACGCTGCCTGCTCTGCTTGTTGCTAAGCCTCTACCTGATGGCCCTGAGCAGAGACAGGTGGAAGTCCAGGCCAGGATTTGGCCCTCAGGAAGTTCAGTGGGGTTTGTGCATCCACCAGAAAGACAGTTAAGTTCTGGGTGATGCCCAGAGCTCCCTGGAATGGCTGGGCTGGTTCTCCAGGGACAGGTAGTGAGTCGGCTATAAGGACTAGAGTAATATTCCCCACCCTCCCCATGTATGTGAGAATACAGTTGTCTGGGCTCACTGGCACAGACCAGCCCGGGTCAAGAGGCAGACAGATACCCCAGGTATGAATGTCCACACCTCAAGCCTGCTCCAGCATCTGTCCCTGAGTAGCACTGGGAATCCCTTAAGACATTCTCCTCCTCTTTTATCCCCCTCTTTCTGCAGCTTGAAAGCAAAGGGAGGGCAAAAAGGGGCAGCTTTCCTTCTGGGGTATACAGCATCAGGTGTGAGGGAGAGTGTCTCCAAGCACTTGCTGAATCCCAAGTACTCAGGCCACGGAGACTCCAGCAGGAAGGATGGTGTTGGGTGCTGCAGAGAAGGCTGTCCTGTCCCAGGGTTAGATTGTGCTGGACTTGCTGCGCCGGAGCAGGTAGACAGCAGTCAGCAGAGCTGTCAGGGTGGTGATCACAAAGAGCAGGATGAGGATGACCCAGTAGTTGTACAGCATGCTCCTGTGGGAAGCAGGCTCCTCTGCCGGGATCATGTTGGTGAGGTTCAGCATGTAGCCGAGGGCCCAACCGATGGAGGTTTCTCCTGCCTGTGGAAACAGCACAGCACGGTCACCGCTCCTTCCATTGTGAGCCCAGTGGAGGGCAGCTCCAGCGGCCTGAGTCCTTGCTCACCTGTGGGTCCGGCCAGCCCAGGCACAAAGAGTGCCCCCGTGGGTGAGTGTTTGTGTGTTAACTGGTCTCATCTGACGGGAGGAGGATCTCATCTGCCTGGGACAGTCCTGACCTCGCTCCCCACGCCCAACGTACGTGGTTGGACTTGGCAAAGTTGGGATCCTGCCCTGAGCTCACTTCCCAACAAGCCTGGGTTGTTTGAGATCTCTGCTGCTTGGAGGGCCAAGGAGAAACTGGTGGACCTTGAAATTCCTGACCCTGTGACAACCCTACGGTTAGGGTCATTCGTTCCCAAAATATATGCCCCAAAACTGGGAGTCCCATCCTGCTCCTGTTCTCGAGGACCTTCCCTCATACACCGCTCAGCTCTTGGTGTGGGTTCATCTCTCACTTTTTGTCCCAGTGTTGAATGAGTACCATGGGATGGCTGTGTGCCCTGGTGTTACCCACCTTTTTCTGGAAGGCAATACTGGGGAAGGAACGGTTGTTGAAGTTGTAACCCTTTGTGATGAGCAGATAAACAAACATGCTGGTAGCACAGTAGTCAGGCAGCCTCTTCTCCAGCCTGGGAGCTTTCTGGTACAGCTGAATGGGAGCATGGAGGAACAGAGAAAAGAGATCAAGCCAGCAGGGTTCAGGTAGTTTCTGTAGTCAGAGACTCTGGGTGATTGCACCTGGCTGGCCAAGGTGCTGCTCGTACCTTCCTGAGCCTCTTTTGGTCCCATGTGGGAACCACCACCAACCCTCTCCATCCTGCATGGGATGGGAGGGTGCCAGGACATCCAGGACCCTCTAAGGGCTGCTCTCGGAGCCTGGGGGATGCGCCGTGCAAAGCAGCCCTCTCCTCCCCCTTGTGCCTGGGAGCCCACCTCATTCCAGCTGCTGGCACAGATGGTCTCAGCAGCGTCCTTCAGGTCACTGGGCAAGTGCACGGGTCTCTCCATCACTGTCTGGATGAAGTCCACCGTGTAGAAGAAGGCAGAGAAGGCCTAATGGAGGAATGGAAGCAGCTGTAGGACAAGCTGGGAGCAAACCTGCACCATAGAGAGCTGCTGTAACCAGTGCGGTGGGCACGAGCAACCATCCTTGCAGAGCTGCAGTCGGGTTTTGCTGCCATGAGACACCTGGGCCCCCACCACCCTGCTCTGCGCTGGGACTTACGATGAAGTTTCCCGAAACCTCAGGCTGGAAAACGCCATCGAAGGAGCAGCGGGAGAAGGAGCAGTTGGTGAAGTCAAAGAGCTTGCTGACGTGCACAGCACAGAGGTTCCCATTCCCGCTGCCGGACACGACGACGGTGGTGTTGAGGGGGAGGCCGGGCCGCTCCTTCTCCGTGCAGGGGCTGTCATAGATGCTGCTCAGTGACAGACTCTTGCGGTAGCCCGTGGGCCAGCAAGGATTGGCGACAGTTTCTTGGTAGTTCTCAGCCTGTGGGAGGAGCAACACACGTCATCCCAGCTCCCCTGGGCCACAGCCCCAGTGCTGCATTGCCTCCGGTTCCTGGTGGGAGGTGCTGATGAGCCTGGGCAGCGGGACCAGAGGAGCACAGAACTCAGCAGTTGCCACCAGTGTCTGGAGATGATTGACACAGGCTTAAGGAGAGAGGAAGAAGCCCTGGGACTGTGGGAGAGGCTTAAGGGGCAAAAGCCAGTGTTGGCTTTTGAGTTGAGTTGCACCGAGTTGGCTGGGAAGTACGTGCAGCTGGCCTGTCCTACCGAACAGGGCTAAGAGATGCCTGCAGGGGAAGCGGGAGGCCTGGCTACGCTTGGGTTTCTTCATATCATCCCTCCCCAGACCCCACTGCTGAACCCAGGGGGCCAGCCACAAGTCCAAAGCAAGGTGCTTTAAAGGAGCCAGGTCTGGTACCTCCCGCTCTGAATGAATGCTGGGGTGGTGACAGGCGAGCACGTGCCAATACCTGGAGGACCTTTGAGAGCAGCCTCTTGAGGACTTGGTCCCTTCCATAGCAGAGAAAGCTGTGGGTGTACACCTTGTATGGCTGGCCATACAGCTTCAGCATCACCTCATTTCTGGGATCTTCAATGGCGTCACTGGTTTCAAAGGTGATCTGTGTGGAAGCGCCTCCAAAGTCCATGGCCCCCAGGGTCCTTTTCTTGGATTGGATCCACTCCCCAAGCCAACCACGCTAGGCAAGGAGACAGCAGTGGGTGTGGGACATGATGAGCTGCAGGACAGCCTGACTGCCCTGCTGGCCCCGCTGCGTGCCCCTGCCCACCTTGATGAAGTTCTCCAGGAGGTAGTTTGCCGTGACCCAGCCAAACACCCCTTCCTCTTCTCCTGACAGGATCTTTGCTCCCCGGAAATCAAAGGGGTACGACTTCAGTGTGGCCA